ATTCCGATATTGATAATACTTCTGCCGTAGGTAGAAATGTCGAGAAGAGGTCTCGAAACATGGCCTGAAAGAGGCCCAGATACTTTATTCTTACTTAGAGGAAGATGAAATTCAATTTTATAAAGTGTTCTGAGATGATTTTTATTTAGGGCCGTTTTACGTGCAAACCCGCCCCCCTCCTTTTCACATATTTATGGTCACGAAATATTAATTTTAGGATACAAAAACTAAATTGTCTTGTTTTTTTTCTCCATCTCTTTCATGTGTATCCATCAATATCATCTAAAGCACAAAAGTGAACAAAATAGTTGACAGTTTTTTCCATATTGATTCATATTCTAATCAAAATATATCGAATATCTAGATGCATATGTAACTATGAACATTCATTGCCTGAGAAACTCATCTACACGATGTGTTTTAGGGAAAAAAAGTGACATTATGAGTTATTCTTTTCTTCCTTGAAAGTAAATGTTTGCCATTGATTTTTTGTGAGTTTTTACATTTCACATATTTTACTTGAATTCAAAAGGTAAACACTAATTTAGTATTTGTTTTCTAATTGTAGCGTTTTATTGTCGAATATTTATTATCACAACATTTAATAAGAGAAAGAGACAAGACGATATTCATATAATGATTTGATAAGAAAAAAAAATTGAAAATTTAGCGAAGACTAAATCTTTGAATACGATGATTACCAGTGTCTGATACATAGAGATTATTATCATTTTGATCGAGTACAATACTCCATGGAGTACGAAGCTCAGAAGCATTAGTACCCATAAGACCGGCAGAATTACCAGCTACGGTAATACCTGTTGTAGCATTGACAGACCAAGCTTGTATACGATGGTTGCCTGTATCTGCGACGTAAACTGTTCCATCGATTCGAGACACCCAAACACCATTCGGTGATTGAAGTTGATTCATTGCGACACCTGGTCCATTTCCTCCTGCAACTGTTATACCAATATTCGAATTATTACTTGTTAAATTAAACAATTGAATTCGATGATTGCCACGATCTGCAACATAGAGTAAAGAATGATCTTCATCAAAATAGAGTCCATAAGGATTGTTTAATTGATCACTATTGTTGCCTGCAATACCCGTTCCAACTAGAATTTGTGTTGCATTTGTCGAATTTCGACTCCATACAATTACTCGATGACAATATTGATTGACAATATATATATTATTACCCGAACGATCAACGGCAATACCCATAGGTGAACTAATTGTTGTAAAAGAACAAGTTGATGAACGACTTACAGGTGGAATTGTTGCCATGGATGGCCAAAATAGAATATAATTTGATTGAAATATTGCCACATATAAGGTACTACTATCAGCATAAAGCCAAGACGTATATATAGTCAGATTTGAAATAAGAGTTTGACCGATGCGATCGATTCCGACAGAAGAAAACATTTGCACACGATTATTAAATGTATCAAGTACATACAATGTTCCATTGTCGAAAAGAAAAATACCGTTCGGACTATGAAGAGTATCACTAGTATTGCCCGAACTACAATTACAATAGCCAGCAACAGTGATACCGATCGACATTGAACTTCCTAAAGTAATACAAATCATTTTTTTGGTTTAAATTCTGAAGGAAAGAATTGATTTTCATTTATATTACTTACCATTTGAAATTTTTTTTTTCACACATGTTGTAAATGATCCATAACAATTTGTTGCACAAGTCAAATTCAAATCATCTCGACATGCATCTAATTGTGAACATGTTTGATTTTCTAATGATTTATTTACACACATTGATCCATTCCAATAAGTAAGAGATGGACATTGACAGGGTTGATCTATTTATAAATTACATATTTTTTAAAATAATTAAATTGGTGACTATAGCTCTCTCGACCTTCCTTCTAATTTTTTTTTCTTCTTATAACTATTGTTTTATTGTGAGTTTCTTGAAGAGATGAGATGATTACACTCGAACTTGGACACTATTATCTTAGCAAAAAAAATGAATACTTAAAAAAAAAAGGATCACTTTCAACGAATCTTGACTCCTCTATTGTATGATGACTTGTATCTTATCGATGATTGCAAATTCTCTAGAAAATATAAATGAAATCATTTGAAATAATTACTTAATTAACTCGTTAATAGGATTCATTGTTAAAATGTGAAATTTTTATCATCAGTATAATTTTATACAGTCTATCAAAATGATTAAAAAGTCAAAAAAGAAAATGATGATATCTATAACTATGATTTAAATTTCTGAAACGAATAGGTCTTTATAGTAATCAAAAATTTTCAAAACATGATTAAAGAAAATGACACATAAAATTTCAGTGCATTGTTATTGTTGTATTATTCTTTTTGTATCACAAACATGAACACTTCCACGTAAAATACCAAAAAGAAAGGCTTGTATTTCTAGATTTTGATCATCGAATTCTTTTTTATTGAAAATCAACATGATTTTCAGAATTAGGATACAAAAAATTTATCAGCAAGCCTACATTTCATCAAAAAATATCTTTGAATAAATTTTTTGTTCTACTTCGCTTTAGCTCTTTGTAGAATTTTTAACTATATTCCTCGACGTCTAAAATTTGATTGAAAGTCTTTTCAAATTAAATATGGTTCTCAGGGAATTTTGCATGATAATTTCAGAAATCAAGCTTATTTCCAATAAAAAATCTGATTTTCGATAATCGAAGTCTATAAATACTAGCCATTGTTTTAGTATTATCATCATACCACTAATAATCAAAAAAAAAATAGTTGAACACAAGAAAAACTAACGAATGGAGGAGGAAGAAGGAAATATAACCCATGGAAAAGTCACCATTTCTTTTGAATTGATTTTTGAAATAAAAACCTTACTATTGATTATTGGTACACATTGTGTATAGGTACCATTGTTACAATCTTGAGCACATGTTAAATTAAGATCTTTTCGACATGCATTTGCTTGTGTACATGTTTGATTTTCAAATAATTGATTCATACATATACCTTGATTCCAATAGGTATTCAATGGACATTGACAAACATTTGAACATTGTTCATAACGGCTATATTGACAAGCAGAGCACGATTGATTATGTAAGGATGAATATATCTCAGGTGAATGTTGAATACTTCCAATAATCGATAATGGTCGTGATGATAATGATGATATCATTGATCCTGTACTAAAATCACCTTCGAATAAACGACATCTACCAGTAGTCGAATCATAATCGAACGTGCGACATGCCGAGACTTGATGACAAGCATACGAACATACGAGAGAAGTAGATGCTGTCAGAGTCGATAGCCATAGAATAGGATTCAATGGTTGATATTCGACACCTGGTGAGCTTAGTGTTATTATCGATTGATCGCAATAGGAAAAAGAAATAAGATAAAGAATGAGAAATATATTCATGAGAGACATTTGGTGAATAAAATCTCTTGTGTCTGAGAAATTACAATCGTCGTGAAGAAAAGAAATATTCTCTTTTTGTCAGCATGACATGTAGCAGAAAAAAAGAAATAGAGTAATATTCCAATGAAATTAATTTCCAATGTAGAGGTAATATTAATTTTTCAAGACATTTTGAAAATGTGTAAAATAAATATATTACATGGATAGGTGAAAAAAAGTAATTAAGACATTGGTGCGTCATTTTTTTTCTCTTATGAAAATTTGCAAAACTTTTTTCTTTTCTCATGGTTGTTGGGTATTACATTTAATATTTTCATTTCTTGAATTCTTGTATTTCTAGGTTGAGAATAAAGAGACTACCAAAATGAGTCTTTGTTTGAAATACAGAACTTTCAAAAACGTAATGAATCACTGACAAGTAAAAACTGATTACCCATGCAATTAGAAATATGAAATTGACACGTTAAAACAGTTCTTTTTTTTCTTTTATTCAACGCGTTATGCACAGTCAAAAATGTCCGGAAAATTGCGTTTGAGCACAGCGCTTTTTCTTTTACTTCAAACGCATTATAACTCGTAATTTCGGATATTTTTGACTGTGTACAATGCATTTCAATGGAGAGCAATTTACTGTGTTGATAGAAATAACGTAGTTAAACTCGGGAAGAATAGATATAACCCACATACCTTAATATTACAAACAATATTAACCCTTTCGCTCCCGGTGACACATATATGTGTCCAAATGTATTTATCGGATAAAGACCGCAGTAGTATATGTTTGAACCGTTTAGAAAAGCTTCTTATTGTTTGTTAGATGGTGCTATAGTAGTATATTTCTCCTTTCTTTTCTTTCTGTTGATATTTTTACTTATGCACATTCCATTCATATTTTCTGTCATTCTAGTGTGTTCCAGTACAATCACTTTTTTTTGTTCTTTTCTTTGTATTTAGTATGTATTATTCTCTCTAACGCTGTTGTCTAATGAGTTTCTATCTTTCTGTAAAAATATTCTAGTTAGTTCTATGTCTTCTATAAAATTCGGTAAATTCATTCCGTTTCTAACCCGTATATATATATATACCCCTGGAAAGCAAAAGTTAGCCACTTTATTTTGGGTATATCGTTACTATAACAGTTAGACATGGACCAATCCCAAACCATTTGAACTCGATACTATCAAAGCTCGACTCGAAGTTTAGACTCGAACTGGAACTCGAGCCTCAAAACTCGAACTCGAACTTCTAAACTCGAGTTCGAGAGGAGTTCGAGCTCACTAATTCATCCAAATCCAAATACTATTGAGCAATAAGATTGCAGGAAAGTTTATCTCTCTCATTGTTGGCACAAAACTAGAGGTGTAAGCCGATAGGCTGATCGGCGGCGGCGCCAGTTTTTTAAAATTTTTTTAAAATGCTCGGCGGCGCAGATTTGATATTCCAAGATTGCGCAGCGGCGGCGGCTCGAAAATTGTAAAATTTCGAATACCATCGGCGGCGCGGCGGCTGTAATTAAAGTGTCTCAGCGGCGGCGGCTTGAAGTTTAAAAAGTACTACGTTATCATAAATAAATTAGTCTATAACCTTGTCTACACGAGGAGGATAATGCAGTATTCAATTCGTATTAAATCAATTCGTGTCTACATTTGTCAGTTAATGCATCAATCAGAATCCTTGACTTTGAAATGAATCGTAGTTTTTGTTCACTTCAATCATAGAGGAATCGCTCATTGAAAAATCCAATCAGACTTTGATTGGTGCATCAACTTTAATGTGGTTCTGAATAGTGCAATAAATTTAATGCACTTTTTAAAAGTGTTTTAAATGTTTATTAACTGTTTAACCAATCATGTTTCTTAATTTACCATCAAAATTTTTAGTGTAGACAAGGCCTATTTCAATATCTCGGCCTTTTTATCTTCAAACACATATGTGGAAAAACTTTAATTCACATCTAGACATAATAAAAAAAAAAAAGTCTAAAATTAAAAATAAATATAATTGCTAGGGTAAATAATAAATGAAAAATCACCACCACGATTGTTAATTAGTAAAGGCACTTAGCGTATTCAAGTTTGTTGTTTTTATTTTGTTTTTGTTAATCAAAATTTAAAATGCTCGTCTCTTCTTGTATTTATTAATATATCCAATTTAAAGACATAAACAACTGAAATGATAACTTAGAATTTTCAACCAACACAGAATTAAGGGTTTGTTTACAATTTAGAACCCCAAGCACCTGACTGGTCAAAGAACCAGCACGAAAGTGAAGTTGAAGACGAGGAAGATAATGAAGAAGAGATTTATTGGGATTCTAAGATGTCAAAGTACCGAATTAAAGAATATATAAATAAAACGTTTATTTATGCTAGTTGCCAGCGGCGGCGGCGGCTCGAAAATTTTAAAATTTTGAATACCATCGGCGACGCGGCGGCTGCGATTAAAGTGTCTCAGCGGCGACGGCTTAAAAATTTCCAAAATTGCTACTGTCACGGCGGCGGCGGCTTAAAATTTTTCGAGTCTGTCGGCGGCGACGGCGGCTCAGCCGCCCGGCTTACACCTCTACACAAAACTAATTCTCATTGCTGAGACCATAAGTAGAGGAAACACTAATTTCTGGTCAGTTTGTCTGCACTCTGATTGAGGTTACCTATAGTAACTATCTGAAGGCTTTCCTAGGGTACCAAAGGTACTATTTTGGGGTCTATCTGTGGTTACCAAAGGTAACTATCTGAGATCGATGCCAGAGTATGTGAGAAGGTGGCCGACCACTTGATCAAATTGCTAGTTAGAGAAGATTATGTTACACACTTATGAACAAGAATGGAATGGAATGGAATGGAATGCTTTATTGGTTAAAGCAGCAACTATATTTATATGTGAGAACAAGGAAAGGTAAAGAATTCTGTGGAAGGTGAAAAGGTCACCAGAAGAAAGAAGAAGACGAATACACACACATATATGTATAGAACAAAAGAAGATATAGATGAAACACATATGACGTCGTAACAAAGAACGGCAGAGATGATACACATATGATGATGCCACTTAAAACACCTCCCCTGCTACTAGATGAAGCGTCCCGCTCATCGATACAAAAAGAAAGAAACGAAATAATAATAATCAATACATTATAAGGTTGACATAGATGAATTTTTAACGAAGATTTATTGTCACTGTTACATACTGACAGGATCGAGAAGAATCTGCCACCTTCTTCCCATATGATACTGCCAGAGTTAAACCATCGCTGTTGTACTTATATAATGATTCGAATTCGGGAGTGTGGGTGCGTGGTGTAGGTGTGGATGGGTGTGTGGGTGTGGGCAGAGATGGAACCGGTCTGGATTTTTGAAGACCGGTACCGGTACCGGTCCAAACAGGTCAGACCGGACCGGACCGACCGGTCTACCGGTTCGACAGGACTACCGGTAATCGACCGGTCTACCGGTGACCGGCCGG